GAATTAGTATTATAGTTTAAATTATTAATATTCACTTTTTCCGATGAAGGGCTGTGCGTGAAGAGGAAACTGAAAGTTTTCTATGGGTACGATTTCGCTTCTCTTATTGTAGGACTGAGACAATTGTTTCGAGATAAACAGTAATCATAATCATATCGTTGTACGAGACAGCGAAAAGAAAACGTGACCGCAGTCGACGGCTGTCCGCACGGAACTGTGTAACAAGTAGTAATTGAAATTTATGACACACTATAATATTATCTGTGTAAGTAGGTAGTTTTTTGTTATTATTGTGGTCATACTATATATATGTAATGAATACTAAAAACAATCCAGTTGTAGTTTTTTTTTTATTTGTGAAAAAAAAATGTGTAATTATGACAAATAATTAACTTGTAATTGTTCTCTCAATTGTTAAAAAAAAAAACAAAAAAAAAAGTAAAAAATAATTAATTATCTATCAGTTGATATTTAAAATTCATAAGAAAATAATTTCAAAAATTTTTTAAACCACTTTATTTATAAATAATGATATACTTTAAATGTAATTACATTCTTCTTAATATTAAAAATTGTCCTCAAAATAATTAGTTTTTTAATTTGACAATTTAATGCGGAATAGTCATAGATAATATTTAAATGGATAGTACATGGATGAATGGGTAATATATTATACAGCTAAACTATAATAGTATGATTATTCAGAATCATCACTAGTATATTTTTTAAACCATAATGCAGTGTTTATTGAACTATCCATGTCTGCGGCAACAGTGCTCAATGGATGGCAGTCATCGTACATCAACAATCTTCAATAAAAACATATAATAAGTTTAACTACAGTAATAACTTCTAAATAGTAATGTAAATTTACCTAGCTGTAATGCCATGCTTCTTAAGTAGATGGTAATATGACAGACCTTGAGACGGAGGAACACGTAAATCATTTTTACCAAGTAATAAAAGTGTAGGAGCTTGAACTTTATGAACGTTCTTACACGGTGAACAATCTGCTAGTTTCATTAAAACATCTTTGGAATTTGCCAAACTATCTACTTCAGAGTAATTATAACCACCTTCTGTAATATCCCTGCAGATTAGTAATAATAAGTAATTGCTTTCTTTTAAACATTTAAAGTGTGTAGCAGACGAATTTATACAAGTACTTGCTGATGAAAATTATTCTTACCAATCTGGTATATCAGAAGTAACAAAAAGCGATAGCAAATCAATACAAGGATTTCTAGTTGATACAGCTTTAAATGTACTCTAAAATCAAACAGTTGACATGAAAAAAACGTCTGCTATAAATATAACATACCATTCAGGAATATCAGTTGTCCCAAACATAGTAATCAAATCAGTAACAGGATTCAGAGCACACACTGCTTTAAACTCAGACTGCAATTATATTATTAAATTTAAAATTATTACTGAAAGAAAAACTCTATGAGCAGCCTCAGGGGAAACATATATATTAAATATGAATCATTTCATTAATATTTTAATAAATAATTTTAATGTACAATTCACTATTAAGTAGGGATGGGCCGATACTAGAAATCGGTTTTTTTTCAAAACCGATATTTCAACCGATGCCAAAAAAAAAAACCTATCGATCAGCATGGTATTGATAGTATCATAGTTCACAAATGCACAGGTTAGGTTATCAATAATCAAATACTATAGATTATTTTATAATAATCAATGTTTTCACTTTTCTAGGTAATATTATTTGTGTTATCAGGTATCGGTTATATTAGATATCGGTTTTATGGTGGTATCGGCTCATGTTTTTTTTGTCAAAAATGTTGTTTTAACATTTCCATATATTATCGGGTATCGGTTTTATATCGGCAGCATATATCGGAATATCGGATATCGATAATAAGTGGTATCGGCCCATCCCTACTATTAAGTATTCTCTGTAGTAATAAGTACTTACTGGATATTGTCCACTTAATTGTGTAACCAAAAACCCACCATGTGAACCACCAAATAACACCAATTTTCTATTGGACCACAAAGGATTGGATTGAACTGCATTATAAACATCTTTGACATCAGCATCGCCTNTGCATTATAAACATCTTTGACATCAGCATCGCCTATATTACCAAGTAATGATTCAACATAATCTTTACCTAGGCCTGTCGATCCTCTGTAATTGACAAATAACACAGCAAAACCTAATAATATGTCAACAATAAATAACAATCGTAATTATTATTATTAACAAAATATTATCATTCATTGACATTACCTATTTGAATAAAGAATGCAGCATCAGCTATAAAAGAGTCTAAAGACGAACTATGGGGGCCACCATGAGGCCATATAATCAAAGGACAATTACTATTTTTTCGTCCATAGAAAATTGTAGTAGGTTTATCTGTAAATAAAATTAAATATTTACTTACGATGTTTGTAATCAATTTATTTGTTTGAATCTTACTGTAAAGAGTATAACCATGCTCAACAACAAAGTTTTCACTGTTAGGAAGACTATGAGATGGCGAAATTTCGTGAATGGAAATATTAGTAAAATCATATGCTTCAAATGTAGAAAGCATTTTGATGGCAAATAATTGCCCGGGCTTATTAAGCGATGATTTATAACAAACTAAAACATCATTGCAAACATCTAATACACTAACACACTCATGAAATGGTTTTGTGATTGGAAGATAATGGATGTCTTTTGACTCTAGAAAATTATTAAAAATTAGTATCTCATAAATATTTTGTTGAACATAAAACAATGTATCAACTTATAAAGTTCAACTATTACCAGTATCAATAGCAAATGTATGTATCGAGCCACCCTGAGGAGTGCTCAGCACAATAGTTTTGTTGTCATTCAGCCAACTTCTACTTGGTATTGCTTGATTATACAGGCCATAGAATGGCAATTGTTCATTGTTGACTTGAAGTATTTTATCGTCAAAATCAACAACCGTAGTAATCTAAATTTATAACAAACAATTATACTAATTTATAATGTTATAGCAATTTTCATAGATTTAGGAAATAAAATAAAATATAAATAAATAACCTCTTTTGTAGACCAATTACAAGCCATCAATTTGAAGCATGAATGATGTGGTCCACCTGCTAAGCGTTCTAACCACACAAGCTTTGTGCCATTCAAATTGAACTTGGGAGTTTTCACAGATAATTGTTCTGAATTGGAACTCAACACAGCTAAAATAATGTAAAATAATAAGTATAATTATAATAATTTAAATGGTAAGTTAAACAATGTGAAAATATGCATACACAACTATTACTAATTATATCATAAAACTTTTTTTTAGTTTTAACATAGGTAAAGCAATCTTCCTAAAGTATTACCTATTAAGAATTCAATTTTTGTTCACCAAATAATATAAATAAAAACATAATTAAAAAGATGACAGTTGAATTCATCGATATAATATAAGTATTTCTATACAGATTTAAAAGGGTAATTATTATTTAATGTAAATAATACAAACTTACTATATTGACCATCTAATGTGAGAGAAAATACATGGCTTGGACGATTAGTACAGTAAATTAGACCCAATTTACGAGGTGTGATTGTATATCCAACTGCCACGACTCCTTTTCCGTCAGGTGTCCATACTGCAGTGGCAGGATTAACATCATTTGGAATATTTGAAAGAACATCTATAGTGTCTGTTTTTATGTCACATACCACCAATACTGGAGTAATCTTTCCGACCAACTGTTCACCCCAATCTTGGCTCCAATCATATTCTTTACCCTACATACATTTTCATCATCATAATTATTAAGTAGGTATAAATAACTCACACAGTTGTAAAAATGATAAGTATATACATACCGGCACAGTTTCACTATTATCTACAACATCTTTATCAGCTGTTGCTTTTGGTTTTTGTTTATAAAATGGTTCTGACTTTGGGACTTTTTTCTCAGCAATATATACAATTTTTGTTTCATCTGGAGACCAATCTAAAGTTCCAAATTCGCCTACAAAATAATAATCCAAACGTACAAAGCAAATTAAATCAAATTTCTAATAATAAATTATGTAAATGTTGTATAATTTTTAATACTAACCATCGGCATAAATTTTTCCATGCACATCTAAAGCGCTCAAGTCATAATTTTTTACAAGTGAAAAATCGGCCCATACTTCTAAGTACTGTTTGATTTCTTTTCCAGATTCAATTTCTCTAACCACACAAAAATACTTGGTTGATTTTGAGTGTGCGCTTATCAATCTAAATGCATATCATTTATTTTTAATTTAGTAAGTTTGTCACGTTTAATGTCATAATGGTTTATATGTAATTTATTATACTCATTTGTTATATCAGTTGGTGGTGATGTTAAATTATAAGTCTTATAATCTGAAAAGACAGTTTGCCGGAACCTAGTTTTGGCTTGCCTCTCCAAAACCCTTTGAACCCAAACAGAATGAACGTTAACAGACGCTTTAGAGCAATCAAGTATTCTAGCAGATATTAGTGCCGGATATTGAGTAGCTACACGATATGCTGCTACAATTTTATCTAACTACAATGTTACAAAATTAACAATGATATTCTATAATTTGACCTTCTATGGTATTTTAATTTCTTACTTGAGCCATTTTACAAATTTGTACTTAAATATTTATATATCTATAGTTGTAGAATTTGGATAGTTCTATTAACAATAAGCAGATCCAAATTAACGGTTTACTACATAAAGCTTTGTCAGCCTTTGAACTTACGAATTGCGAAATACGAATATTTAAGTGTTTACAGTTTTGAGTGTTGAACGACAGTCAACAGACAACAGATGAACAGAACAACATTGAACGAATGAACCATAGACAAGAATACTAAGATGAACTAAGATTATAATTTGTAGATAAGATTGTTACGTGAGTACACAGATATATAAACATACTAGATAGCGCACGACTATCCGAAAAGTGTGTCTTGTTCCACCATATGCTAACACGGCAATGTTTACTAATATTCACTGATAACAGGAAATGATAAATTATAATTTTTATAAATATTCAAAACATACTCACTATTTTTTTATAGTCACTATGCAGTATTCAGAAAATACTAAATACGGAATAGACTAGAATTTGCTAGAAAGCAGAATATTAATTAATAGAAAACATTGTATGATCTAAGTTTTGGTCAAGATCATATTTCAGATGGCTAGTCGGTACAACTAACTTTTGCAACATGGGTATATAGCTAGTAGATACCTACATACAAAACTTATTAACGTAAAAGAACAATAGTGAAAGTTAGTAAACTAGATAAATTTAGTAGTAATAGTAGTATATTTATAATGTATATACTATATGGTAGATATATATTTGTATTATAAACTATAAAAGGAGTAGAGGATTTAATAAAATTAACGCATTTAGTGCCTTCTTAAGGTAGGTATATATTATAATTAAGTATAAAACAAATACATTATTACAACTGTGTGATGGGAAAATGGATGTATTCAAAGAAAATTTATTAATACAATTATACAAAATTCTAGTTTCTAAATTGTGTACATTAAGGTTTTTTAAATTTGATGTAAATATTAATAAATAATTTTCAGCTTCCTGAATAATTTTATATGCACTTTCTGATCCACTGATCAAACCACCATTATTTTTTAATATTGTGAATCGTGTTTATGAATGTACATTACAATAGTCGTGATCTGTAATATCTTTAAAAAGACATTGTTTACACGACTCACATTCAAGTGTTTTTATTATTTGTTTTATAATATAGCCTAAAATATAATAAATAATATTGTTTTTTGCTTCTTTCATATTAGTACTTTTTTGTTTTCAAATTCACAACCTAATATTTTCATTGTTGCTAAATTACTATAAGCACCGTCACAAGTAATGCCCCATACTGTTAATCCTGCATTATCAGTCAAAGTAAGTGCTGTCTTAACCAATTCTGCCTGTGTTACAGCAGTTATTTTATTTAGGAAAAAGTAGCCTATTGGTAGCTTCCATTTACCGTTTAAACTTACAAGCATGAACACAAGCGCTTCAGTTGCTAACGTTTCTGTTCCTTCAAGATCAAGTTCATTGCCTAAGTCACAAAACCCAATAAATTTGCCTTCTTTCACACCCCACAAAAATGGATATTCGAACCAGGAATTTGTCTATTTGAACATCCATGAGCAGAGCAAGTAAAAACCATTATATATTAATAAAATATATTATAAATATATTATACAATTATCTGGTGTTCACCTGCTATTTAAATACCTTTGAATTTTGATATATTTTATAATTTTAAATCAAAAAAAAACAAACAAAATTTTCAATAATTTGATTACTCATTTGTTATCAATTTTGCATAATGTAAACATTGCCGTCTTGACAAATGGCCGCCGCTGACACACATTTAATAACATCAAGTAAATGGTCGTCCGCTATCTAGTATGTTTATATATCTGTGCGTGAGTAGTGATAATGTGACCGGCTTTTGTTCTCTTCTCGTAATCTCATCATTCTCATAATAATAATTTTATTATTAAAATTGCGTCTATATACAGTTGAGTACCTATAATAATTATTTAGGTCGATAAAAAAATGTATAACGTGAAAAATAAATTAATAATACATTATGAACTAATAATCAGTGTAATATCTGCACTTACACAGTTTATGTTGATTAATTATATTATAGTCCACTGACCGTTATTATTTTTAAAAAACACGAAAAATGGTTATTTTTTACAAAAAACCAGTTTTTAACAACATCGATTTTGTTTTTTCTTTTGATACAATAAATAACCATGGACTTAAAATGCTCACCAAATATTCATGTAAGCATTTAATAAATGATAACATTTTTAAAAAATTAGGTACTCAGGATATTTAAAGGTATTAGAGATGTTCAACTTTTTTAAATTTATGTATGATGAAATTATTGTTTGTGAGTAAAAAAACCTTGAAACATAAACACACAGTGCCTCTTGATGAGTTTTTCTTACAGTAACTAAAATAAATCGAAAATACATACTGACAATTTTGTGTTAATAAGCATTCAACGTTCAAAGTGTTTACTGAAAGTTCATGAAATTCATGATATTTTTAAAATTATTTCGAAGTATAAATTTTGAAGTAGGTATAAAATTCATAAAATGCTTAATTTTATCACCTAAGACAAGAAAATTTGATGGAAGATTCCTCATAAGTTTATTTATTAGAAATTATAAAAACAAATGTATTATAATAATTTTCATACGTGAAAGCGAGTGAATCCAAAATTAAAAGAAATTTTATAATCGGACGAAGAATAACGATTTTTCTGTTGAAATTCAAAAATATTATTAAAGTGGGATGTGAGGACTTGAAATTGAGGACTTTCCGAGTATTATATTATATAGGTACTATACGTCTATACTCACATTGACATTTTCAAAATATTGGGATTAATTTCAAGCTGTAATTTATTCAAGATTTTCAAGAAGAAAAATTCGATACGTATCGATACGTACCACCTCGTATGGAAGTCCGAGTCCGATACGGGTCGGTACGTATCGCTTGTATACTGCACGTGTAACTTCTTGAACGTTCAAAATTGCCTCGATACGTATCGATACACTCCAAATTCTTCCTTGAAAACCTTGATTTATTCATGAACACAAAAAATTAATAACAATATTACAATAACATAGGTTTGTCGGTTTGTGATATTAATAAGTATGTCATTATATTAAACTACAGTAATAATTAATAGTATAGACTTCGGCAAAACTGTACCTACCTACTCAAGTTTATTTTGTAGCTGACTAAGCACAGCTGTTATCTACTTGTCCACTTTTTTGTTTGATTTTGGAAACTTCAAATTTTGTTTTTGTATTTATAAAGCTTGTATTTTTATCGTAGGTACCTATAGTGGATTATTCCAAAAAAAAGTTATCTACCTATTACATTTCTATAAAGCTGTGATGAATATTTTAAATGTATAGTATGTTATAGTTTTTTTTTTTTTATTAAGAAAGAAAATTTACAATCTGTACAGTGTACACAATAATTACAATAAGCAAATTAGATAAAGAAAAATAGAATAAAATAACATGAATGACGTGTTGAGGAAGAAACCCAATGGTAACACCTCTTTTACTAATTTAATAGGTCTCTACACCAGTATGTTATAGTTATAACATTTATTAGGTACCTAATTATAAATTTGGGAATATAAGCCGAAATAACCAGAATAGAGCATACACTTAAAATTAATACTTAGAGTACTTTACCTAAATAGTAACCTACGAAATATTACCTCGTATAAATAATATTATATTAAACAAAATATGTAGTAATAGTATATATATTATATTATTATAAATTATAGAGAATTATTGTTTGGTGTACTATAATATTATACACATAGTATATTTTCCAGTATATCTCCATCTACCACCACTGAAATTACATAAACCTATCCAAAGGGCCATAGCAACGAATAGTATCTAACAACAAATATTTCATGACCATTGACCCTTCTGGACTTATGCATGTAGGAAGAGCAATAACCTACCTATTCGTTTAGTAATTATTAGACACTATTAAAATATACCTAAGTATATTAATATGTCTTACAGGGATTTATTTAGTAAGTAATTTAAATGTTATTATATTATTGATAGGATATAACTTCATACCTACTTATTTATAGCACTAGTCCTTTATCCTCACAATAAATACCTACTTTTACAGAGTTTACTGAAGTCATGCGATCATTAGGATATCATCATCAAATATCTATGGATAGCTTCCATAGTCCAAATTTTAGTTTGGTGTCTGATATTTTGTTTTGGCTGGCACTGCGTTTCGAACCCGACACTAATTTACCACAAGAAATTGAAACATCTGAACAACGAGTTTATTTCATTCGTTCAATTGTAGAATTTTTTGTAAATATACCTAAGTTTAATTGTAAACATTATTAAGATGATTTCTAAAAAAATTAAATATTATTTTTATAGGTTCTTAAAACTAATGTCAAGTTAAATGTAAAGAAATTGTATCAAGCAGATCGAAATGCAGTAGGTGAACTACTAAAAATAACTGATTTACTTAACAACGCATTAAATACGAAACAAACTAATGAGGATGAAGGTTTCATCAAATTGGAAACTAACTTAACTTACAAAGTATTCTATTTCAAATATAATTTCTAATGGACATTTGTACGATTCACGCAGTTAATAATTATTATTATGTTAGGCCAATGAATTAAAATCGACAAGAGAATTGGCATCAAAAATCACTCAAAAAGGTGCTGTTTTATTTCGTTCTTTAGAAGAAGAAAGTGAACTACGGCCAATCAGAGATAGCCGAGTTAATGCTGCATTGGATATTAATGAAGTTGAACAAAGCCTTAAGACACTAATTCAGAAAACAAAAAAAGAAACTGAACATACAAGAGATTTGATAAAAAATATTTCTGCAACCGAAGCCAACCTGGATGCAAAAATTGCAAAACGGAGAGAAGATTTAGAAAGAAATTCAAAGAGACTTCAAACGTTGAAACAAGTGAGGTAAATATTTAGGAAATGTACAAAATTTCTAAATGATATAAATTATAAATATCCTTGATTAATTATTATTTAAATATGATTTGTAGACTAAAAATTAAATATAGCGGTAGTACCACCTACCTAGGTATACCTATCATTTATTATTTTAGATTCTGAGCAGAATGATTTATTAATTTTAAAAATTTAAAATAATGTATTTTTTATGTCTGTGTTCACAATAAGTAGTCGAAATACAGCTTTGATTTTCAACTTGAATGTTGGATTTTGATTGCAAATTGGATGTATTTGGTACTTCTGAGATGTAAATAGAAAATTCCCCAAAAAAATTATTTTTATAAATTTTTACTCAAACCCAATGTTCAAGAAAATTGATTTTTTTGAGTTAACAAAAAAATAACTACAGAATACTGTAGATTCTTAAAATTGTCATCAAAAATGTATATTAGTATTTTCTTGCATCAAAAAATGTTGATAAAAATTTGAAAAATTAATAGCTAAAATATTTTTCATCAATTGTTATTGTAGTAATTTAAAAAAGTTAAAGATACACAAGAAACATTTTTTTATAAGCATTTGAAATTCAAATTTTATAAAATCACGAAAATTTGCAAACAATATTAGTAGTTAAGTTTGTTATTTTAATTTTTTACACACAATGAAATTTTTTAATGCATTTTGGAAGAATGAATTTAACCTGCTGTACTGCTACATAAATAGTAAAATAAATTACTTTAATGGCATTGACCGGGTACGCTCAATACCTACTAGTTTCCTACTTTCTCACTTTTTAAATATTTTGTTTAAACTATAAAGGCCAGCATTCTTAGAGGAATTTGAAGACTTAGAATCTGAACTTAGACATTTATATCAAGAATATATTACAAGACAAAGATGTATAAGTTACTTAGAGCATCAACAAGAACAGGTGGCTCAGGCAGAACTAATACATATACAAGAACAACAAGTAAATTATATTTAATAGTTAGAGATTAAAATATGAGTTAATGTTTTTTATTTACACAAGGAAATGGCGAAAAAAATTATTGAAAATAATAAACAAGATGATGATTTAAAACTACTGGAAGAAGTTAATAATGAACCATACAATAACCAATTTTTAGAAAATACTCCAGATATTAGTATTAAAGGAAGAGGTAAGTAAAATACAATATTTTACCCAATATTGGCTAAATTATTTATGACTAACTAACTCTATACAATAAGTAATCATATTTAATAATACCATATGTAGTTACCAAAATTAAATTAAATCATGAAATATCCTTCTTTTATTTTTGAAATTCAAATTATGAATACATATTCATGATAAAAATGTTTTTCAATGTTTTCAGTAATTTTTATAAATATAATATTTGGATTAACTTATAATTTATTATTGTTTATTAATAATTATTTATAATTGCTTATCTACACTTTTCAGTTAGTAGTGCAGCTACAAGCAGAAACCGTGGCATGTTTGGCCGCTTATCAGACAGTGAAACAGATTCTGATTTAATGTTGGATGATGAAGAAGATTCCAATATAATGGCATCCGATGGTGAACTATCAACTTCTAGAGCAGAAAAACTAGGAAGTATTCATAGTGATAGTGGTGATAGTGACAACTGATAGATTAATAGTTTAAAAAAATAATATATTTTAATATTTTTGAGTCGTGTGTCTAACAGATGGCCCCCAAACCAAAGAAATTGATAAATATAATATATTTAATAAATTAAAATAATAATTATATTGTCTAACTGTTAAAATTATTTGACAATACAGTGAGGGATCAATAATTCGGTAATTGTTCTTTATACACCTTGTACATGGGCACCTACTTAACCTCTTGTAATTTTGTTATGAAAAATATTGAATAACATATACTGATTACCTCATGCCTTTTGATATATTAAATCATTTTAATATAATCATTGTAGTGAAATTACAGTGTTGTAAAAATCACTTATGAATTTAAATATTTATGGACATTTTATTTTCAAATATTTAAGCTACTACTCAAACATTTTTCTTTTCCTGTAATTTACTAAAAAATACCACAAATAAAGATGAGGCACAAATTTACTACAACTTTATATTACTATTACAAGTATAAAAGTTTAATAAATAAGTACATAGTACATAATTATGATAAATTTAATTACAATTGATGACATTTTTTGGGCTGACATTGAATTGAGTCCCAAAAATATTTTTGAGTTATCGGAGTTGAGTCCCTTCAGCCTATTAGTGTTCCCCAGGAGACACCAAGTGGAGGTTGGCTGTGTAGTCTCCCAAAAATGTGTGCGTTTGCTTTCATTGTTTTTAATAATAATAATCATGTATGATAAAATATTTTTTTTTTAAATAACAATAGTCATTTTATGAAATCGAAACTTAAACCCTTCAATATCTGTTATTGTTGCATATCCGATACTATGCTATAATATGATGCACAAAGTTCAAGGTAGGTAGTTATGACATTTTATCTATACGGACTCTATTCAAAGATATTAAGATAATAAGCTGGACTCAATTCAATATCACTGATTTTTTGTGTGTATTTAAGTTGTTCTCTGGATGATTTAGATTCACAATTGGACCCGGTAGGTCCAACCCAGAATAAGGACATTGTTGTTAATAAATGGCTATTGGTTGTGGGAGGAATTTTAGAATTTTTTTTTGAATATTGGTTGCCATTGGTTAATTGGGCAGATCAGGTATAAGCATGTATCATATTAAATTTTGGCACATTGCTTACCAAGGTCTCTAAGACGAGCTGTCTGCAAGATTGGCGTGTCCGTAATCAAAAAATAAAATAAAAATGAAATATATTAATAATATAGAGTTGGCCTTTTTAACGGGTAACAGAGTACAGGGGATCAGCTAGTATTATATAAACTAAGAAAAAAATATACATATTTATTTATATTGATATTTTAGTTATGTAAGAAATATTGCAAATTATAAATATTTAATTCATATTAACTATTTAATGAATTTATATTTTTAATTGTGAACTCATGGGCCTCCGCACGAAAATATTCAGTGGGGTTCATTATCTAACTGAAGAATAAATAAAAAAATTAATTAATTTAAAAAAAAAAAAAATAAATATTCAATCTTAGTCCACAAAAATAATGGAATATAATTTAATTGAGAATAGTATGAAAATTTTAGACTTAGAATAAAATATATTAAAAATATTTTTATAACATTTCACAGTTAATAAGAAATAATTGATTTAGATAGTTGATTTTTCAAAATTACTATTTAAATACTGGATAAACCATAGTGCTGCATTAATCAAACTATCCATGTCAGCGGTAACAGTACTTAATGGATGACAATCATCGTACATCAACACTCTGCAATAAAAACATAATAACTTTAACTATAGTAATAACTACTAATTATTAAAGGAAATTTACCTAGCCGTAACACCATGCTTCTTAAGTAGATGGTAATATGCCAGACCAAGACATGGAAGGACACGCAAATCTTTTTCACCAAGTAATAAAAGTGTAGGAGCTTGAACTTTATGAACGTTTTTGCACGGCGAACAATCTGCTAATTTCATTAAAATTTCTTTAGAATTTGCCAAGCTATCTACTTCAGAGAAATTGTAACCAGCTTCTGTAATGGTCCTGCAAACAAGTAAAAATAAGTAATCATTTATCTTTATTAAGCTTATTAATTGTCACTAAACTAAATACCTACTCATTTATACACTTTTATATTAAGTCTAAAATAAAACATCTTACATGAAATAGTCTACTATAAACACAGCAATACAAGTAAGTATACAACATACCAGTCAGGAACATCAGTTAACCCGAACATAGTTATCAAATCTGTAACAGGATTCAGTGCGCACACTGCTTTAAACGCTGACTGCAATTAAATTATTCAATAAATTAAAATAAAGCCGAAAAAGGTTTACTACGTATGTGAAACATTTATGTTGTATCAGGGTGCATTAATATATAGTACAGCAATATACAAAACAGTACTTACAGGATACTGTCCACTTAAATGTGTAACCAAAAATCCACCATGTGAACCACCAAATAACACCAATTTTCTATTGGACCACAAAGGATTGGATTGAACTGCATTATAAACATCTTTGACATCAGCATCGCCTATATTACCAAGTAATGATTCAACATAATCTTTACCTAGGCCTGTCGATCCTCTGTAATTGATAAATAATACAGCAAAACCTAATAACATGTCAATAATAACAAAAAAGTTATAACTAAAATAAAATAAAAAACTATAATCAAAATATTATTACAACTTGTTATTACCTATCTGAACAAAAAATGCAATATCCGCTCTAAAAAAGTCTGAAGATGATAAATGAGGGCCTCCATGAGGCCATATAATCAAAGGACAATTATTATTTTTTGGCCCATAAAAAATTGTAGTAGGTTTATCTATAAATTAAATCAAATATTTATTTATTTATTACAGATCTCAGTAATTAGTTTACATATTTCGATCTTACTGTAAAGAGTATAACCATGCTCAACAACAAAGTTGTCACTGTCAGGAAGACTACGAGATGGTGAAATTGCGTGAATGGAAATATTAGTAAAATCATATGCTCGAGTAGTAGAAAGAATTTTGATAACAAATAACTGCCCAGGTTTATTAAGTGATGATTTATAACAGACCAAGACATCGTTGCAAACATCTATTACACTAACACTTTCATGAAACGGTTTGGTGATTGGAAGATAACGAATATCTTTAGATTCTGAAAAATAATTAAAAATTTGGCTTTCAAAAATATTTTGTTGAACATAAAACTATGTATTAACTAATAAAGTAGAGATATTACCAGTATCAATAGCAAATGTATGTATTGAACCACCTTGAGGAGTGCTTAACACAATAGTTTTATCATCATTCAGCCAACAATTTTTTGGTATTGCCTGATCATATAGGCCATAGAATGGTAATTGTTCATTGCAATCAAAAGTATTGGGAAGTATTTGATTGTCAAAATCAACAACTGTAGTAATCTAGAGTAATAATATATTAATTTAAAATGTTAAGAGTAATTTTCATACAACTAAGAAATGGAATATGAATAAAATAACCTTTTTTGTAGACCAATTGCAAGACATCAGTTTAAAACATGAACTATGTGGTCCACCCGCTAAGCGTTCTAACCACACAAGCTTGGTGCCATTCAAATTGAATCTGGGATACCTCACACATAATTGTTCTGAATTGGAACTCAACACATCTATGCAATAAAATAATAACTTTATAATGTAAAATTATTAGTAAAGTATATATATATTAACTTACATGAAAATATCTATAAATTGGTATCTAATAACAAATGAACACCTATTAATTTAAAATTATAAGTAATAGAATTTATACTGCCCAATCAAGCAATTAAAATTATATTCTCAAATGAAACCACTTATAAATATTTTAGAATCATACAAATACAACAACTGTAAAAACAACTGTTTTCTACTAACCACCAGAAACTCCAAACTTACTTAACACTTCAACAAAAATACAGAATATCCATTTGAATATAAAATAACTTGGTATATGGCTTTATTAACTGTTTACATTTTTATTACAATAGGTTATATTTGATATCTCTATTCTATTAATCTAGCATTCTTTTTTTTTACACGAGAATTTGAGACTGGGCAAGTTAGTAATTTTTTTCAACTAGTTAATGTAAAATTACTTTAATACAAAAACTAACCAAGTTGGAAAATAAGTTAGTTCTAACTTTTTTTTAATTTGTAAATCAAGTTAGAAGTAATTTTTTTTTATAACTTAAAATGTAAATTTAAAACCCGTTTGTTCAAAATATGTTAGATATTAAATAAATAAATTACTCAGTGTCTCGGTATCAAACTTAAATTATTGGTGACCAAACTGATATTTTTATCGAATATCTCAACTTGTAAGTAGATAGGTAATTTATTAATAACCTCAATTTCTTGGAATCAAATTGGAATATCAGTCATTGGATCACAGAATATCAAAATAGTATGATACTATATATTTGTGTAATATAGTTAACATGTATAACAAGAATTAGGTGTACTGTATAACTAATATAAATAATTAATAAGAAATGACAAGAAAAATGTTTTTATCTTAAAATTGAAAATATGCAATATTTATTGTTAATGAGATATGATCATGGCTATAGTTTATAGATACTAATAGTCAGCACTCATCAGTTTTAAGAACCATTATAATTTTTAGAATGAAAACATAAAACAAAACTAGTTGTACTAATTGTTTTTAACGAGTTAGGTTAGATTATTCTACACATTCAATTCTACTAGTTAAGTTACAAAGTTACTAATAAAGTAACTTTCTAAATTAACTTTAACTTTCTCATTAGTTAATGACAAGCATTTTTGAGTATTTTTCATAAAGGTAATGACTAATGAGTTTCCAAAAGTATTATTCAAAAGTATATTTTTTGCTCACAAAATATGTAGGTAAGAAAAAATTAAATTTGAAAAACAAAAATACATTCATTGGTCTAGTAAAACTAGTAGTATAGCCCAAAAAATGCAATAAATATTAATACTTTAATTTTAAAAATAAACTATATTATACAAAGTAATGTACTAACCATATTGGCCATCTAATGTGAGAGAAAATACAATACTGGGACTATTGGCACAGTAAATTAAACCTAATTTACGAGGAGTGATTATGTGTCCAATTGCCACGACTCCTTTTCCGTCAGGTGTCCATACTGCAGTGGCAGGATTAACATCATTTGGAATATTTGAAAGAACATCTATAGTGTCTGTTTTTATGTCAAATACCACCAAAACTGGAGTAATCTTTCCGACCAACTGTTCACCCCAATCTTGGCTCCAATCATATTCTTTACCCTACATACATATTCATCATCATAATTATTAAGTAGGTATAAATAACTCACACAGTTGTAAAAATGATAAGTATATACATACCGGCACAGTTTCACTATTATCTACAACATCTTTATCAGCTGTTGCTTTTGGTTTTTGTTTATAAAATGGTTCTGACTTTGGGACTTTTTTCTCAGCAATATATACAATTTTTGTTTCATCTGGAGACCAATCTAAAGTTCCAAATTCGCCTACAAAATAATAATCCAAACGTACAAAGCAAATTAAATCAAATTTCTAATAATAAATTATGTAAATGTTGTATAATTTTTATTACTAACCATCGGCATAAATTTTTCCATGCACATCTAAAGCGCTCAAGTCATAATTTTTTACCAGTGAAAAATCGGCCCATACTTCTAAAAACTGTTTGATTTCATTTCCGGATTTCACTTCTCTGACCACACAAAAATATTTACTTGATTTTGAGTGTGCGCTTATCAACCTAAATGAGTATTATTAATTTTATTTTTTATTATTTTTTCATATAGGTACGCGTGAATAGTGTTCCTGCGATTTATGTGCAATTATACCTACTCATTTGTTATGTCAGTCGGCGGCGATGTTGAGGTATAAGTCTTATAATCTGAAAAGACGGTTTGCCGGAACCTGATCACCGCTTGCCTCTCCAAAACTTTTTGTATCCAAACAGAATGAACACTAACAGAAGCTTGTGAGCAATTAAGTATTCTAGCAGATATTAATTCCGGATATTGTGCGGTCACGCGATATGCTGCCACAATTGTATCCAACTGGAATGTCATACAATTAGTAATATTTGGTCAAATATATAATCCATAAACTCGTGTGCATCTTTATATATTTTTTTCTTACTTGAGCCATTTAAAAAATAGGTACCTATGTTTACTATTCCAATAATCCTACTTAAAGTCGTGCTATTCAGTTTGGATAGTTGCGTACCTAATTTACTGAACAATCCAAGCAAACTATTCTACCAAATAGGTACTATAGTACTATACTATATTACCAAACCACTTATAGTTAGGTTGGCCTTTGAACTTCCGTAGTTCAATCATATTGACCTATAGATTTCGTGCTCAGTATTCGGTATACGGTGTACCTATAGTCTATACTATCTTATCTGAAAATATCAGGATGAAGATAGTAGAATAGTGGGTTTCCACTAATTATAAACCAGCACGGTCTAAGACCGTGCGTCTGAGCCTAGATCAAATGCATAATATTTTTTATTGAACAAAGTTTTTTATTTACAATCTGCAATAATTACATTGTTATGCAGTGAGTAAATTGGAGGGGGATTATTGGCGAGAGGCGGAAGTAGCTCATTGACGGCATCTCGCGTTAATGATTTTAGGAAGAGAGTAGGTTCCTAAGAGCCTGGGTGGGTTTCCTGGAATTTGCCCGAATAAGAAGTGGGTGATAATAGGATTTGAGTGAGAACTGAAAGTTTTGTTTGTGTTTTTTATGGTTGATCGTAGCAAGTTTATGTAAGGTTGGAAATTGGAATGCAAAATGTCTTATTTATTAAGTGAGTCATTGGTGACGTACCTGCAGCGAGCGCACCTGTAAATAATCGTAGACATATAGGCTGGCATGCCTGTATTATTCTGGTGTTTGAAGGTTTGGCTGAGCCCCAAAGTTGAATGCGGTAGTAATGCATGGGTCTTAGAAGAACCATGTAAATTGTTCTTTTAGTATTTAAAGAGAAGTCGGAGTGGAGTAAGTCAAAGAAAGTGAAGTCTCGAACTGAGAGCCGTGCACTTGTTTTTTAAGCGAGGACCCCAAGTAAGGTGTTTGTCAAGTATTGGCAATACCAGATATTGAGTTTGAGCGAAATAGTGAGTATCTGGATTAAAATTATTTTAAAAAGGCGCGATTTATTTTTAAGAGTTTGAATTTTAAATTTTGACACTTGTTAAAATAAAAAAATATTTGCAATTGTTTTTTCGTTAAAATGTTCAGCTTTTAGTTTTTACAGTTAAGGTTTTCATGTCAAAAATATACATATTAATATGCTGTCGTTGTGGACTTGTGGTACACTATTTCTTGTTTTTATTCTTAATTTATCCAAAATATTGTGATAAAATACTGTATAGGCTATGTTCTATGTATTTTAAAAGCTACAGATCTGTTTCCGATGCACAATCGCCGGGAATGAGGTATATCCATTATCCACGGACTAAGATATGCCTATATCTTAGTTCGTGGGTATATCCTCTGTTTTCCTTATTCCTCCAGGAGACATCGATTCCGTTATAGGCGTAGTCCTATTGCCAACATAAAGCCGCCGAGGAAAAAGTTCTGACAATACTTAGTTCAAAGATCTCGCTACAGCCGGGATACACATGTACGGCGTACAGTAGAACTATATATATTGGGTAAGATATATATATATATATATATATATATATCCTGACAATTGTATTATTATACAAAATGCTAAACTGATCCTAAGTTACTCACTAGATCAATTATATGATAAAATGTCAATAATAGAAATACATAAAAAAAAGATCAAACACCCTAATAAGAAAAGAAAACAAGAAGTACCTCTGAAGATAACTTATATACTACAGAGATGGAAAATTAATATGTTAATAGAGCATTAAAATGATTCAATAAATTACCATATAATATTAAAGTTATTGAGAATAATTCAAGATTTAAAGTGCAATAAAACAAATGTATTTACAGTTATTTTGCTGACAGTCCCAATTCTATGTTATTAGGTCTTTTATTTGTACAATTTTGTTCTATTTTGATTTTTAAGTTTTGTTTGCATAAATAGGCATTAAAATCTTGCACACCTAATAAGTTACGAAACTAAAAGTTCTTAACTCTCAACTCCCAGCACAAGGGTCGCTTATAGGGAGTAGGGACCAGACGATTCTTAATACATGATGTAAAAATTTAATTAAGGGCCATTAATCATTATGCAATTTCGTTGTTGCCGCCCATGGAATTTGTGTTAGTCCTCAATGACAATTAATTATTAGTGCTAGTGTAATTGTATACGGGTTCCGGGTTATCTACGCACGCGCAGCAGTTCCACACGTAAATAGCATCGCCGCCCAAACATTTTTTTTTGTTCAAAACATGCTTTACAGGAAAAACTCTCACGTATCGAAGTGGTAGGATTTGATTCCTTTTTTTTCGTTAGAGGATAATTTTCTACAGGGAACATTGAACTTCAATTTTTATTTTTTGAGGTCTAAAACAAACATACTAATACAAAAAGCTTATGAAGATTGGTCATATTAAAAACTCTATCATTTTGTTTGGAAATAGAATTTTGAAAATCCGAATCCAATACGCTTTGTTAGAAGCATATCTCTTTAAACAAAAAAAGTATTGAAATCGGATCATTCTGAGGTGTGAGAGTTAAACTGTGAAGTGTAAGGCATGTTTTAGAGAAAAAAAACAGATCATATCAAGACCCTTCAATGTAACTTTGTTCAATGTATTAGTACTGTTCTTGATTTCTAATAAAATAAAAATATTTGATGAAGCTAACAATAAATCATTTAACAACCAATTTTTGGAAAATATTTCTGATATTAATATTAAACGAAGCAGCAAGTATAATTAATTGTTATATTCAATAAATAATTATATTTAACTATACTTATTACAAAAGTTAAATCATGAAATATCCTTCATTATATTTATTCAAACTAAGAATATTAAGGATTATGTTTTTCTTCTTCAATATTTTGAGCAGTTTAAAAAATTATATGCGGATATTTGGCGGATTAATAAAATATTTATTTATAGTTTTAAGTTGGAAGTGCAGCTTATCTGTGGTCGCTTATTATCAGACAGTGACAGAATACAAATCCTGATTTGATGTTTAAGGATGAAGAAGATTCTAATCTAATGACACATGACAAAGAACTTTGAACTTCTAGAGCTGAAAAAATAAGAAGTACTCAGGGATAGTGATAATAAAGATGTTAAAAAAAATAACGTTTTTTATTATTGTTAAATTTAAAATAATATGTACTAGACATATTATATTTAAATTTTTTTAACAATCTGCACAACATCTTCATCTTCAAGTTCATGGTCTTTTCCAACTTTTTGAGGCACATGTTTAACAGATGATCCCCAAACCAGAGCACTAAACATATACAATATATAAATAATAAATTATTAGAAAAAAAATGTATAGTATTGCCTTACTATTTAAATTCTTTGGCGATGGTGCGATGAAGTTTATTACAAAAATCTTCTATACTTTTCCTTTCATTATGCAAGACAATTGGAGATCCGTAATCTGGTAACTGTCCTTTAGGCTTGGTGTAACTACATAATTAAAAACATAACAAATTATTACTACTTATTATACAATACTAGCATAAGACAAGCTATTCTTGTCAAAATTTGAACTTTAAATTGCTTATAAAAAAAATTACAAATATATTTTTAATATTTTTCAACTGCCATTGTAACAATATACTAGGAGCTTTGAATTAAATTGATAAGCTTTTTGACTGACACTTTAAAAGAAAACAAATAAAACTCGAAATGTTCTTATAATTGTAAATAGCTCAAAAAGAGTCGCAATATTTCAAAAAAGATTATGGCTCCTATTATTATAAAAATTTAGTGAAAATGTCATATATTTTGAAGTTCACTAAAAACAAAATTGATTTTTTTGAAACCGGGTTTTGCGTAAAAATTTGAGTTTTTCCTGCCGCTTTTGAAAACTAAGGTGAATTTTTTACTTTTTACAATCGAAAAGTACCAAGTACCAACTAGATTCACTTTCCTACCAGAAAATATGCTGTTGAAGAAAATCAAAGCATTTTTACTGCCTCAAAAGGCGATGACACAAACTAGAGACATATCCATGACTTGAAACTGTATTGTATCATATTTTCAAATATAAGATACTTAAATTGAAAAAGGTTATTCTAAAAGAAATTTTAAAAATATCATCATATATAATACGCACAACTAATTGCATTTATTGAACTCAAACCTACTCTTATGCAAGAATGAGCACTTCTTTTAATAATTTCATTTACTCAGCAGCTCGCAGAAAATTAGTAAATTTTTTTATAAAAATATCAAGTACTTTTACTAAGAAAATATTCAACAAATTTCTTTTTAGTGGGTATTTTCAAATTTAAATAATTGTGTAGTATTGTCATCCCCCGATTTTCACTAATGAAAATATGTAATACCCTGTCAACTATCTATAGCATATATTATTATTTATAATAATTTAATACAAAGATTTTCTCAGTCAATGTTCGTGTCTTTATACAAATTTAATGCCCAACACTAAACTTATAAAAACAAAGAAATATTTTTATACGTCTTAAATGACAAGCTATAATTTTACTTAGGAATAATATTTCTTTTTAGTTGCACCACTGCTATAAACAAAGTTTAACAACTTATGTATATTACTTACATTCTAACTAATTTCAAGTATTCCCACATCTTTTCTAAAAGGTCATCAAAATTCCATTTATGGTGAGCACTTATGGGTACTGTATGAGGTATTTTATAAATGATGTCCAATTCTTCTATGCTTATTTGATCTACAACCAAACCAATAATTAATTAAATATTTATTAAATTCAATATTGTTATTAAATTCATATTACTAAAGAAATAAAATACAAACCAATTTTATTAAGTATATAGATACAAGGTAAATATATGCGATTTCCTTCAACAACATCAATAAGATCATCAGAGGTAGCATCATATCTTAGAGTAATATCAGCGTTGTGAATTCTGTACTCTGATAATATAGTTCTTACGGTATCCAAATCCAATTCACTTTGTGGTACCTGTTATAAAAAAAACCAAAATTTGAAATCGAAGTAAACATTTTTTCTAAAAATGTCTATTACCATGGTCTGTAAATTTATTCCACCCTTATCCTTTCGCCTATAAACTATATTTGGTGGCGATTTGTTAAGTCTTAATCCAAATCCTTCCAATTCGTGTTCAATTAATTTTTTATGTTTTAATGGTTTAAGAACATCCAAAACAATGAAAATCAATGAACATGTGCGAGCCACAGCAATAACTTGTCGTCCACGACCTTTACCATCCTTAGCACCTTCAATGATACCAGGTAAATCTAAAAGCTATCAATAAATATACAACAGAAGGTCAATATTTGTTCTGATATTTTTTGAGTAGAGAACAATTATGATTGGAATTATTAATACAAATTTAAAACTACTAAATATTAATCTAAATATGTAAACATTTTTGTGTGTCCATGAGAGAATAGTTAAAATTTTTATTATTATTATTAATTAGTTATTAGTTTATTACATACCTAAGACAAAGAGACTAAAACAATTTTTTTTCTTTTTAACAAGTACAACAAATGTCAACATGTAGATATTCTAAAATAAATAAATTCTGTTTTTGTTGCTCAGATTATGTTTATTCTACACTCAAAATAAGTTCAAATTAATTACTTGGATTTTAGCCCCTTTGTATTTAATACATCCAGGAACTGTGGTCAAAGTTGTAAACTCATATGCAGCAACTTCTGAATAAACACCAGCTAGATTACTCAACAATGTTGATTTACCGACAGAAGGAAAACCTGAGGAAACAAATGTAATCAAATCTTAATCATCTGTGAGATAGTTATTTAATCTTACCTACAAAACCAATTCTAGCATCTCCAGTTTTAGCTACATCAAAACCTTCTCCAGTACCTCCACCGCCACCTTTGGGCGTTATAAGTTCTCGTCGAAGTTTGGCAATACGAGCTTTCAGCAAACCTAAATGTCCAGCTGTCGCTTTATTCTTCTGAGTTCTGGCCATCTACATTAAAATGTTGTTAGTATTGTTATGTAGGTAAAAAAAAATGGTTGTACTTACCTCGGCCTCGATGGCCGAGATTCTGTCTAGTATCGTCGTCATCCTTAAGAACTATTTCAACTTATAAGGTATAAAATATTTTCAAAATCGAATGAAATCTATATTAATAATATGTTAACGTCTTATCCGGAGTAGGAGCAATAGAACTACTCCTGATCCAAGAGTAGACAGTGAGCAGCGAGTATCGAGTGTTGAGTCTTGAGTAAGTGAGATGATTTTCCGGGTATCACTATATCAGGCGTTCAGATTTCAGACCCGACTACCAAAGAAGTATACTAAGAAACGTACAATAACCTCAAAATATTATCCATGGAAAAAGCCATTCTTGTCTCTCTAATCTTCTGAGGTCGTTGTGGTCACGGTGAACATGGACCAACCATGATTGTATATTATGAACATTATGGAACAGATTAATATATTTTTATATTTTCTCACTACAACTGTCCTCCTTCGGATCTTCAATTACAGTAGTTAAATATTTTAACTTGAATAATATTTTTTTATAATACTCCAATAAGAACATAGAAAACATTGGTATTTTTATTAAATTCATCATATTTCATAATGTATAAAAATAAAAAATGAATGATGTATTGTGGTTACAGCGGTTAGTAATGGTTTATTATGTTTACGGACAATGGAATTGAAAATGTTATAAGCCCAGCAAATATTGATTTAACATTTATATCACAACAAATATATATTATAAATTATTATATACCCATAGTAACATTACGAATGTGTTAATCCAAATTCTTTCCTGTTGCATTCAACGTTTAATTTTCTAATCATCTATCGTACCTAGTGAATTAGTGCAAGCCACAAGGCAATAATATTAGTCATAATTATTAAGCGACAAATTACGCCGACTTGTCCAATTGTATTTCGTGTTGTGCACATTAGTTGTATTGTGTATACGTTTTAGCATAATCTAAAAGCTGCAATATGGTACAGACCATTGATTATAATTTTTTTGATTTTATTAAATTAGAAATATTAATATCGTTTCCAAATTGAATTTTTTTACAGTCACACACCATACTCCTGATTCAACCAGGGAGCAAACCGGAAACAAGAACATATTCCGATTATGAGTCTGTTAATGATTGCATGGAAGGTAAATAAATGTCATTGCTCTTGTTGAATAAACATAATATGTCTCATTATTTTAGGGGTTTGTAAGATTTATGAAGAACACCTGAAGAAATTAAATCCAAAGTCCGTGTCTATTACATATGACATAACTCAGCTGTTTGAATTTGTTGACCATTTAGCAGATCTTTCATGTCTTGTGTATGTCAATAATATTTCATTACTTAAGTTTAGTAATTCCATTTTTATGAATTATAAATCATGTTTAGGTACCAAAAAAGTACTATGACATATGCACCTTATAATAAAGACTGGATAAAAGAAAAGATTTACGTCCTACTCAGATGCCAAGCCAATCAACGTCAATAAACAGTATGAATTTAATGGAATGTTTTATTATAATTTTATTGTGAGGCTGTTTTTTTTTCTCGTTTACCATTTAGTAGGTATATATACACCAACTATAATGTAATGTAGGTTGACCATAAGCAGTATACAAGTTATTCATAGTAATTTGATAAATATTCATGATCCTCAGAACTTCCTTAACCTAATAAAGGTTAGTAATTGTAAATTAAAATAATATTAAAATATTAAATTACATTATTATTATTTGTGACCTTTTGTATTTATTAACTTTGTTTAATGTAATACTCCAATCTCATTATAATGACTGTTTTTGAATATACCAAGAAATTGTATGTACAATGTACCTAAATTGCTACTAGTTTTTTTAAAATTAAACACGAGATTACTACAAAATAATTGTATAATTGGGTTTTCTTGGAAATTATTTTTTTCCTTTAGAAAATTTCATGTTTGATATTTTATAGACAGTAGTTCAAACAAATAATTTTATGGCCAATTAATAAGGTCATAATTATGGATAAACAAACCTCGGAAAAAAAATCCCACACTAGGAAAATAAAATTCTGACGAAAAAGGTGCCACACTGGGGAAAACTGAATTAATTTAAAAAGTCTAAAAATGCTATCATCACAACTGTTTCTTATGTTATGGCTTTAAGTTTTTTATTTTTTTCTCAGAAATAAGATTTCCATTCCCTTGGTGCACATGATCACTAGTAGAAACTATTATTATTTATTGTTTTTTATTAGTGTTTTTACATTTATTTATCTCTCTGAAAAATTGACTTACGCTGCTCGATAAAGGACTGGCATCTAGCCACCTGAAATAGTGTAATCTTATGAATTACAATTAAAAGATTGTTCGTGATTCGTGCTACGTTTATTATGTGAATAATAAATATTTAATGAAGGGTATTTGTTTGTGCAAAATTGTGATCATGTATAATTTGTTGGCCACAGAACCAACTATTAGTATAAGTGATTACTACTAATTAGATCAAATGTCAATTTACTTCAGCACTTTACCACTACATTTCAAATTCAAAATAATTTTCTTGAAAATATTTTATTTAAGATCTTTTGAAGAGATATAAATTATAATGTAGGTAGTACCTGCTCTGTTTATAAAACAACTATAGAAATATAAAAAATATCATATTTAATGATAATAATTTTAAAACAATACCAGGTATAAATAAATAATATACATATTTTTTAGGTCATATAAATAAATATAAAATATTTTTAGAGCTGAATTAGATTAGATGATTCTTCTTGGTGTCTAATTAACTCATAATAATACTTCTTTTTAGCTTTCAGTTCTTCATGATTACCTTGCTCAACAATTTTACCATTGTGAACTACAGCAATAGAATCAGCTAATTGAATTGTAGAAAGACGATGAGCAATAATAATGCAAGTGCGACCTTTACAAGCCGCCTCCAATGCTCCTTGTACGTTCTTGAAACATTAAATTGTGTTAGAATTATAGAAATGAATATGCTTACTCTACATGATCCACTTACTGCATCATTTTTGGTATCCAATGCTGTCGTAGCCTCATCTAACAAAAGTATTTTAGGATTTCTTATTAATGCACGTGCAATGGCTACTCGTTGTTTTTGTCCTTCAGACAGATGACTTCCTTGATCTCCAGCCAATGTATCATACCTCTAAAAGTAGGTATTCAGTTTAATATTAAAAAAATTGTGTTGCTTCAAAAGTTCAAAATATTGAGTATGGTTTACTTGAGATAGAGTTGTAATAAAAGTATGAATATTTGCTTTTTTAGCTGCTTCAATTATTTCATCCATGGAGACCTCTCTATTGGCTACACCATATGCTATGTTATCTTTGATGGATCTGTTAAACAATATTGAGTCTTGAGAAACAATTCCAATATTTTGTCTTAAATGGCACAAATTCATTGCTCGTATATCGTGATCATCGACTTCCTAAACAAAATGTATACTTCAATATATAGTTCATTTACTATTTTAATATTGATAGTATTATAGTATATTGTATACATTAAATAAAACATAACAATTATTAAATACTGGAATATAAACACGTACAATCACTCCTTTTGATGGATCATAGAACCTTTCAAGTAAAGATACTATACTGCTTTTGCCACTTCCAGATTCACCAACTATTGCTAATGTCTTGCCAGGTTCAACTATCAAGTTGAGGCCTTGCAAAACACGTACATTTGGTCTAGAAGGATACTCGAATTTGACATCTTTGAAGTGGACTTTTCCTTTAATTGTCTGTATTGTACATTAAAAGTTTGAAATGTAATATTGATTTAATATGATAATGTTATTATGTGATATGGTTTTACTGGTTTAGATCCTGAATTTGATAGAGGGTCGATCTCAGATTTTCTCCTAATTAGTTGAAAAATGAGAGATGCTGCAATCTTAGCTCTTGAATAATCTTGTAGATAAGCTGATGTTTGACCAACAGAAGCAGCACAAAATGCCAATGCAAAGAACACCCTAAGAAATACATTTGAATAGAAATTGTAATAATAATACTTGACATATTATCTGTATAATATTACCTATAAATATCTGTGGCTGACATATCTCCAATTTCAACAAGATATGCTCCATATCTAAATGAAACTGAATACATTCCATATATAACTGCCTGAGAAATGCCATACATAATTGCAAACGAAAATGCCTGTTTTTTAGCAGCTGTAAATGGATCTTTCAAACTATTTGCATACTGTGATACAAAAATTAGTTCCTGTGCTAAACCTTGAACTGTTTTTATACTTGAAATAGTTTCAGATGTAATCTAAAATGAGTTCATAGACTTAGCTGCAAGTCAGATTTATAAAAATTAAACAAATTGGAAAAAAATTGATTATACTATAAAGTATATTATATGATATAATTTGCATATTAGTATAATCAATCTTAGTTAATAAAATTATTAAGTAAAATATCGATGTTTGTTTAGCATACAACTTGTAATTGCTTATTTTCTTACCCGGTCAGCTTCATCCATACATTCAAAATCTTGTTTTTGATTTTTTTGTACGATCATTAATTGCTTATAAGCAGCACCAGCAATTAATGGTACACCAATGACTAATACTACAGCTAATTTCCAGCCAAACGTAAAAGCGATTATTAGTGCAGCTGATAGAGTTACAAATGCTGATATTACTTGAGCAACTCTTAAACTTCCAGCCTATAATATCAAAAATCTTAGACATTTTTAAATTTTTATGTTTGTAACTGTACTTGCAGATTTCACAAGTGGAGCTTCTCTAGCTAAACTACTGATGATATTGCTGGGTGATGAACTTTTAAAATCAAACCAAAATACAGGTTGACGTAACACATTTTCAAATGCATATACTCTCATGCGCATAATGAGCTTTTCACAAGCATGGGTAAATCCAAAGGTCTTTAAAAAATAATTAATAAAAAATAACTTTGTAATATTATAATTTTAACTTTTTTTTACCTGCATCCACCATGCTAATCCAGATAATAATGCCAATAAAATAAACATCTTTGACCAAAAAGCTGCTTCTTGTAATAGTTCATCACCTTTAAGTGTAAATGTCTAAAAGAAATAATAATAAATAATAATATAATTATGCTACTGGTTAATTTTATACTAACAGCAAAGACCTGACCATAAAAAACAGCAAACACTGGCATTATGCAACCAGTTAAAGTACAACCTATGAAACCCATCATCAACCATGGCCATTCTGGACAGTTGAATTTAAGTATATCTTTTATGCAAACATTTTCAATTTCAGGCTGAAAATTAATTTATAAAACATATGTATATGTATTGTATTTAATTAATTCTAATAATTCTTGAACAGAAAGCTTATTATACATAGACAAAGCTGGGCATTAATGTGTTGAAAAGTTTAGTAATAAACAACTTATAATATATTATAATATATAAACATAACTATAAATAATTACAGTCTCTTCCAAATATATTAATTACAAATCTCTCAACAATAACATTACCAGATAACAAAATTCAAATTTTAAAGAAATATTAGTGCTGTGATCTTTTAAAAATATAAATCAATAACTTTTTTTGATGAGGATTCTATCATTGGATGGCCTCTTTTTCTAGTATTTGTTCTGTCAATTATTACGCTTCTATGTATTATTATTGTAATATATACAGGCGCGGACTGGCAAAAAAGTGCGCGGGATGCTACATAATTTAAAGGGCAAATAAAACAAATTTTAAATAATAGGTTATTTATAAAATATTTAAACATTTTCTTTTGTTTTAATAAAATATTGTAAATACGTTAAAAATGTAAATAGGTGCCAAATTACAACAGCAAGGCAAGGTTAAGCAACGGCAAACTTAAGGGTCAGCAAATTGTGATTAATTTTTGACAATTCTGCAGAAGTGAACTCTTAATACTGTCGTTATTGGTCTCACTGTAATTAGTAATTTTCATGTCTGGAGACAAGGACTTATACTTAATATTATTTTTTAAATTAATTTAATTCCCGCGTTAAGCTACTATGAAATTAACCATATATTTACATAAATATTCAATATCAATATAGGTTAGTACTTAAAATTACAGATTTCCAATATTAATATTTAAAAAAATGTCTCTCTTTTTGGAAAAACCATAAGTTAATTAATATATCCTGAAAATTGTAAAGAAACAAAACACTGGAAATACGTCATTGAAAGAATTGTTATAATTGATTTATATGCATTTGCAGGTTTTTTACCCCAAAAAGTAGTTAGATAAGCTACAAATTTGAATCTTAAACTAATTTAATTAAAAAATTTAAATTTTTGCATATTTGAACGATTTTAAATTTGTATGCATATTTTAGCATTTTTCTAAAATATGATGCATATTTACAAAAAATAGTATTAAGTTATTAATATTTAATGCTAATACTAAGCTTGCTTCAGGTACCACTACGATAATTTATCGTCGATAATGATCTCAATAACGAAAATTGATTATATAGTAATGGACTGACGGACCATTATGGACTTATCGGTTTAGTTTTTATACAACAGTGATTCACGATAGTATGTGTTTGTGTTTTTAGGTAATTTAGAAATTGTATAAAAACATACTACATTTATTTGAATTGATTTTCATTTGTGGCTTTTTATTTAGATGAGTGAATGTTCAAAATGCAACATACATAATAAAAAACCCACTTACATTATTTCAACTAAGCATTTAATACATTTGTTTATTTCATATAAATTATTTAATGAATTATACATATTTTTAAATTAAATAAATTTAATTAACATGCACTTTTATTTACATATTTTTGCATATTTTAAGGGCATATTTGAATGAAAATTATTGCATAAATGCATGAATATTTTGTACGCTTTTAGTGCATATAATTGCGGGCTCTAGTTATAATATTAAACCTATAATATGGACATGGAAGAAGTTGCCCAAGTAATGAACTATCATTTAATTAATGTTAAGCAAATTTTTATTCATAAGCATTAAAATATATAAATATTGACTAAACATTATCTATTGATTAAGGATACATTTTTAAACATTTAACAATATTAAGTAAATATTGAATGAACCAAAATTATTTATTTAGCTAATATTGTTAACTAATATTTAGTTAAGATTTTTTTACCAATATTTAATAAATGTGTTTAACAAATATTTAGTCAGCATTGACTTAAATTTAACTAACCAAATTTTAATATACTTCAGCTATATATTAATATTACTCAACCATTTTAGTTTTCAAGTTATTACGGTTCAATCATCAATTGTTCAGCTTAATAGTGACTTCAAAATGCTCTAAGTAAAAATATCAATATAGGTACTTATTTAATAAGAAAATATATGAATATACTAATGTATGAAAGTAAAAACATCCACACACACTTTTATACCAATACAAAACAAAATAAAAAACCATTAAAATTTATAAAAACAAAATTTATTTGTTTATAGAAAAAAAAGTTACGTATTAATCATAAATTAATTATATCTTATAAGTTTTTGATCGTTTTTCTGCAAATGGT